ACAATCTCCTCCTCATCGGAAAGGGATAAAGGTACCCTTCCAAAAGACACTCCTTGTTCTGAGTCTCAGTCCTGTAAGGGGAGAGACAATAGCAGAGAGAGACAATAGCCTGCGGCCCACTGAAAGGAAGGAGAGCAACAGATACACTTGTTCCGAGTCTCCGGCACATCCAGTCAGTGGCGCCTGCAGATGTACGGCTGTTTGTACTGTGCGTACCATGAGCGCTCAGACTGATCTGAGATTTGCCCCGCAAAACATTTCAGCAGTTATTATAGGCCTGTGTGTCCCGTATGTCGAGTGAACCAGCCATGCCATTAATTATGAATTTATCAGTCTTTTGCATGCCAAAGTCAATTTCTGCATAGAGATATTACGCCAAATAGAAGCAGAAAATCGTGCTATACGCACTTTCATGAGATCGGGTTATTTATTTTACAAATAGGAATACAACGAATTCATGACAATGTTTACATTCAAGCTACCTGTAAAATTTATAGTGAAAAGTACTTTAAAATAGGACAATTGTTTTCAAACCTTTTAAACTATCTACTTAAACTATCTACCCCAAACATTTTAAACTATCTACTTTTGTAATTCAGTTCAGTGATGACAGTGCTGCAGAAATTCCACATTTCAGCTTAAAACAAAGTTTGGTGAGTCGGTAATCAAAGTACGCTCGTGCAAACACATAAATAAACAAATAAACTTGTTTGAAGGATTCCCTTTCAAGTTGTTTGTGGAAACACATAAAGTAGACATCTACACATGTCTCTAATCAGCGAGCGCACGTTTTCAATAACAAAACATCAAAACATTACTCAGCCAGTGGTAAGATGTAGCCACTTCTAAGTTTCAACTAAACTTTTGATCTCCTCCAAAATCTCATTCGCTTACTTCTTTCATAAAAGAAATAGCTTTCCTGCTTTCTAAACAAATACACGCTCTTCTTCCATAAATGCCGAGCTGCTATCAAAAAGTTCACCCATATATTTACAAACCAAACTTCTGAAGTCATACCCCGGTGTCAAAGGTGACAATCAAATCTCACAGGAATCCGTCCACAGACAATGGCACAGTGTGGAAAACACCCAGCCTGTGTCCTGTGCGGCACGCAGTGAATTTAGCCCCTAATGAATAACACCAAAACACTAGCGAGTGAACAATGCCACAGCTGTGCTAATAGCAGCACTAGCACAGACTAGTATGCAGACCTTCTCCACATATGGGGTATAAAGCATATGCTGTTGGTACACGTCTTTAATTAGAAACAGCATTAGGTTATGGAATGACAATAAAGAACTGTGGGAAATGCATGCATTAAACAGTCAATGAAATCAAACCTGACCCTATTTACATACTTAAAATTGGTTTCTGTTTTTATGATGAATGATTCATCACTGCAATTTGTTCAAAACTATAAAAATATTGCCTTCATAATTTTTTATCAAAATGCAATGAATTACAACCTTGGTTGGTTGGTGTGCTTAAAGTCTTGAAGTGGTTTGGATGCACAACTGAAATAACCTGATTCTCCTCTGAAACAACTTTCCTTTATGGTTGACATCACCAAGCCAGTAGACTGTATTCATAATAAGATGGTCTACATGCATTACTATGAAGGTGAGAAACTACAACGTGCAATATGGCAGAATAGGTCCCACCCTATACATAAAAGAACCAATCAGCAATTGTCATCAAAAGTCATTGTATCACTGTAGCTGCCATCAGAAGCTACTTTTACATACTTTTACACTGTTGCCGCGGTTTGCTTTTGAAGTCTGCGGGTTAAAGTGATCTCGCCGGTACATGATTTTGAAGGAGGGAGACCCTCCCGGAATGCGAATTTGACTGAGTGGTCCCTCGACAGAAATAAAAACCGCAAAAAACAAACCAGATTGGTTTTGGGCTAGTTTTGATTAGCAATTTGGCTGGTTTTGTTTCGCAGACCTGGCAACCCTGGCTACAGAAGTAGTGTCCTTAGGAATGCGCACACACATTGGCTGGTCCAACCTAAAAAAATGTAATGCTATTTGAGCATAAAAGGCAACATTTATGGAACAGTTAATGTTAAATGTAAATTTCCAGTATTTCACCATTCAACTTCACATAAGGAGTTGGCCTTTGATGCTTGAACTAGCAAATACTGTATGGCTGAAGAGTGAACTGACTTCCAAACTAGTGGTCAACCGATTTGGATTTTTTGATGGCCAATATAAAGTCACATTTTTGATATAACCTTGAATTCAAATTTTTTATTTAATTTAATGATATTAAATAACACAAGCATATTATATTTATATTTGTTTAACAAAATATTTACTAAAATAATTAGAAGTAAACTATGACAATTTTTCAATTTGAAAAAAAAAAAAGTAACAAAAACAATCTGTAAAAATAAACAGATTTATACTTTAGATGGCAACTTGAAAGTGCAAAAAAGTAATCCTATTATGGAATTTTTAAACATAAATAAAGAGTTTAAAACATGAACAAAAGAGAAGTAAACAGTAGCCAGCAGGAAACTCGAAATGTGCTTTGCTGCTGCATTTTTGTCGAAGTTTGGGAGGTTTGTAGATTTAAATGTTTAACAGGTATATAAAGACTTGTTTAAATTATATAAATGCTTTTTATCATCCAATTAGCTGGATAAAAGTCATGCCATGCATTTACTTCAACTTTCATTTTTGAGCTTTCATTGAGAGGATAGTGGAAAGAGGGCAGGAAATAATATAGAAAAGAGAAGAGAATGGGATCTGGAAATGATGCGAGCAAGACTCAAACCCACATGTCCTGCATGTGCACCACAGCTCAATGCCTAACCGCTAGGCCATGGCTCCAACAATCTCCTTTGTTGCAAACGCAAGTATGTCTGCTCACCTATGTCTTTGTCTTTGATTTCCACACTGCTAACTGCAGACGGAAGACTTGAGATTTTCTCTTCATCCGAGTCCGTATGGAGGACAGTACTTGACTAAAGCGAGAAAGAGAGACTGTAAGAACTCACTAAATGACATTAGCAAGCCCAGAATGCTCTCCAACACAGGTAATCAGTCCTTTATCTACAAATTAGCTTAAGATCGAACACAAGACTTTGCTAATAAGTTTAGTACATGGCTCAGGCCAGCAGAAGATCCATGAAAGAGACTCTGTGGAATGGATGTGAGGGAAAGGTCTGCAGATGATTAACCACCAAGCTAAATCAGTAACATCTCATTTAGAGAAATTAAGTTATGCTGTTACTCTCTTGCTGTGTCCATCACAATTGATAATGTTGTTAACATAGATAGCAGAAGCTGGCATGATGTCAGTAGCGTGATTTACCCTGCAAGAGTCCAGCCTTTCGCTCCTCAGGATGGATGAAGAGCTTTGCGATTCAGGCTCATAATAAGAGGAGCCGCTCACTTCTTCTATTATCTAGAAATAAGATAATAAAACATGTCAGGTTATTTACAGGTTAAAGTAGTCATGAAATAAAAATTCACAATTTTTCACATTTTCACATTTTTTAAATGCATGTTATAGATCTTATTGTAAACAATAACATATTTGTGCATATGTTTGATTTTTAAAAATGTTTTGAGTTCATGTTCATCTGCCTCCATTTTTGAGTGTAATTACAAACAATGCATAGAAGCAAGTCTCACCGTACATTTTGTCTTTTTTAATAATCATTACAGTAAGATGGATGAAGAGCTTTGCGATTCAGGCTCATAATAAGAGGAGCCGCTCACTTCTTCTATTATCTAGAAATAAGATAATAAAACATGTCAGGTTATTTACAGGTTAAAGTAGTCATGAAATAAAAATTCACAATTTTTCACATTTTCACATTTTTTAAATGCATGTTATAGATCTTATTGTAAACAATAACATATTTGTGCATATGTTTGATTTTTAAAAATGTTTTGAGCTCATGTTCATCTGCCTCCATTTTTGAGTGTAATTACAAACAATGCATAGAAGCAAGTCTCCGTACATTTTGTCTTTTTTAATAATCATTACAGTAATGTACAACACAATAAGGTCGCTACTTCCATTTAATCACAACATTAAAGGTATAGTTTACCCAAAAATGAAAATTTTGTCATAATTTACTCACCCTCACGTTGTTCCAAACCTGTATGAATTTTCTTTATGACTTTCTCCATTGTATTTTTTTCCATACTATTGAAGTCAATGGCTACCGTCAACTGTTTGGTTACTATCATTCTTCAAAATATCTTCTTTTGTGATCAGCAGAGGAAAGAAAGTCATACAGGTTTGGAACAACTTTAGGGTGAGTAAATGATGACAAATTTTGCATTTTAGGGTGAACTATCCCTTTAAGTTTAAGTTAAATGTAAGTCTGTGTTTAGACTTGATCAGACCTTCCTCCACTCTTCGGCCTGCGTGCTGCTCTGGAAGCCCAAGATAACCGTTTCGGCACCGGCCACCACCTTCAGCTCGTGCTGCATCTTCTTACTGTGATTGGATTTGTAGACCACGTAACAACCTGTGAGGTTTAGCTCCAGCAGAGGGTGCAGGTCTTTAGCACACTTAAAACACTACCAGGGGAAAATGAAGTATATATTATACACTGTACAGTTACTTAAAAGAGTATTTATTAGGGAAACAATATATTTTAAAAATAATACTTAAGTGTGAAGTGAAAGTAATGTTTTCAGACACTTAACTGCATGTTATTTACAATTAAATGAAAATGTATTATAGTTCATAATTAAAATTTTATTTTCATTAGTGCTTTTTTACCCACTTAAATAGAACTTAAGTACACCTTTATAAGTAATGAGTTGATAATATATGATTGAAATATGTTATATAAGTTGAAATATGGTTAAAGTGTACTGCTGAATGTACTTATAAGAATTTATGGTAATATACTTCAGTGTCATTTCTATTGAAATTTTTATGTCATGTATTTAAACACATTGGTAAGGATGAAGTTGCATTGATATATGTTAACTTTAATAACACTACAGTTAAAATTATAATCAAGTACTTTACATGTGCTTAAGTATGTTAGTCAACATCAAAATAAGTGTACTTTAAAGCACGACATTTAAATACATTTAAGTGGACTTTTCTTTCATTAAAATTATATTATCTGCAAGTGCAGTTTTTTAAAAACATACTTTTAATTTTTGAAGTACATTACAAATGCACATTCAATACAATTGAGCACAATGTTTTTCAAGGACTGTGACAAGCACAGGAAATAAAATCCAAGAAGGTGACTTTAGTCTGTGGTCTCTTGATTTCTTCTATTTCGATTTGAATTGTCAACTCTTATTCAGATTTAAATCTCATTTATCTATACAAAATTATTTCTTTATATTACAAATGTTCTGTGTCACCCAATATTTGTGTGTGTTATGCGTTTTTTGTGCATTTTAGAGTAAGGAGTTAAGGAGCTTAGCAACATGCTAAAGTTAAACTTCTCAGGAAACTACTGCGTGTATTAGTCAAGTATTAAAAGCAATATTTGTATGGTGGGCTAAGTGACTCGAAACAAAGTAGCTGCCCAGGATAAATGTTTTAAATCAGTGTCTTTGCTATGGTGTTTATCAAATAACACCAAATACAAGAACACAGAAAAACAGCTGGTTTCTGACTTTTCCTGTTATTTACTGTCACTTCGAAAATTTCTAAAAGATTTGATATTGCTCTGAAAGACAGATGTGACACGTTGTTGGTGTATTAAATCCTTCAAATATTCAATTTGTGTCATGCATACTTGCACAGAGAGATGATGACTATAGTAAAAACGTAAAAAAAAAAACGCATGATTTTAACTGGACATATAAACATACTACCTAAGAGCACATGAATGTGTAGACAAAAAAGCAAAGCAGTTTGGAATAGAGTCATATGAAACCTCTTACCAGTAGTGAGTTGTGCTTAATAATGAAAAACTGGCGCGTCCACTGACCCAGCCACTTCTTCTTCCAGAGGTATCCGCAGATGCGTGACTCTGGCACGGGTCGTAAACAGGGTTGAGAGGAGCTCCACTGGATGTAGTGAGCTCTGTCCTTCACAAAATCCTCATCATCCTCTTCGCCATACGACTCGTAGTGACTGCTGTCTGAATCCACTTTATCTGAGGCAAAGACAGGTATTTAGCATTACATGTGGATGTCAGTTGTTTCATTAAACTGCTGAATTGTCTCGTGTCCCATATAAGAAAGTAAGTTAGGGTGGTTTGGAATGACATGAGGTGAGTAAATCAGAATTTCATTTTTGGGTGAACTATCCCTTTAAAAATTAACTGTTTGGTCTTATAGTAGTCGGCTGTCACACTAACCTGTAGACTGACTGGCCGGGACAAACGGTTCTGCCTCCTCGTAACAGTCCTCGTCTTCTAAACACGGGGCATGCGGGGGAACAGCAGGACTCATAGACTGAACACACACACACACACACACACACACACACACAAAGAAAACACGTTAGATGTATTTTTGAAGTGAGAACACCATTGATTCAATTTTTTTGAAGGAAGTCTCTTATGCTCGTCAAGGCTACATTTATTTGACAGAAATACATTAAAATCAGTAATATTGTGAAATTTTATTTTAATTTAAAATAACTGTTTTCTATTTAAACACATTTTAAAATGTAATTTTATCCGGATTCTTAGATGAACAAAAAGTTTAACAGAACAGCATCTATTTGAAAGCATATATTATAAATGTCTTTACTGTGATTTTTGGATCAATTTAATGCTTCCTTGTTAAATAAAATGATTGTTTCTTTCAAAAAATTGTATATGTTATAACCCAAAAAAGTAATCGTTTACTACCTTTCTTCTGCTGAACACAAAAGATATTTTGAGTTATGTTCATAACCAAACAAGTGCTGGTTCCCATTGACTTCCAGTGTATTTTTTTCCATACTATGGAAGTCAATGGTTATCAGCAACTGTTTGGTTAATAACGTTCTTCAAAATATCTTCTTTTGTGTTTAAGAAGTGAGAACACCATTGATTCAATTTTTTTGAAGGAAGTCTCTTATGCTCGTCAAGGCTACATTTATTTGACAGAAATACATTAAAATCAGTAATATTGTGAAATTTTATTTTAATTTAAAATAACTGTTTTCTATTTAAACACATTTTAAAATGTAATTTTATCCGGATTCTTAGATGAACAAAAAGTTTAACAGAACAGCATCTATTTGAAAGCATATATTATAAATGTCTTTACTGTGATTTTTGGATCAATTTAATGCTTCCTTGTTAAATAAAATGATTGTTTCTTTCAAAAAATTGTATATGTTATAACCCAAAAAAGTCATCGTTTACTACCTTTCTTCTGCTGAACACAAAAGAAGATATTTTGAGTTATGTTCATAACCAAACAAGTGCTGGTCCCCATTGACTTCCAGTGTATTTTTTTCCATACTATGGAAGTCAATGGCTATCAGCAACTGTTTGGTTAACAACGTTCTTCAAAATATCTTCTTTTGTGTTTAACAAAATAAAGACATTCATACAGGTTTGAAACATCTTGAGTAAATCATGAATTTTCATTTTGGGTGGTTCATTTTGAAAATAGGAAAAAGTTATGAACATCCTTATGATAAGAACAGCCCTGAAATAAAGAGCTATACACTGCCCAGGCAAAGTTCTAACTCATTAAGCCGCAGTGAAGACCACACAACCAAAATCTGCACCCTGATCAATCGCGACACTTTCACATGAGCTGCTCATGGCAACCACACAACCAGAAATGACGACAGCACAGCAGGACAGCGCGATCACCTGAATGTGCACATGAGAGGCATAGTATCTGAGGAAAACAAAACAGAGATGATATCTTTCTGATATGGAGCTCAAAAGCCAGAGTTTAAGTGCTGCTCTGCAGTTACAGGAAGAGAGAGAGAGTATGTTTTTAGTTGTACTAAGGGTCAGTCGGTCCACAGTGTTTATGAGAGTCTGGTGCAGACTGTTCTAGAGGAGCACAGCTGAAAGACAATGGCTGTGGTCGGCACTGGGGTCAGTAATTTGTAGTTGGACATTGAGGGCAAATCAGTAGCACTGAAACAACGCCTTCTGAGAGTTGAAAAAAAAAAGAAAGGCAAAAGCAGAATTTTTTTAGGTCTCAAGTACTGTACTCTTCAATTTCCATGGATCTTAACTTTACCATTTCTTATCTTTTCTCTTCAAGATTCAATATAATGGTTTTCCTTGGGAAATGCATTGGCATCAATTTAAGAAAACAATAAAAAAAAAATAGTAAAAAAAAAATTTTTTTACTGAAGCACATTTGAATGTAATTAAATAAATTTGAATACACAATTTAATATACAGTACAATTAAAAGAACATTAGTGAAATGTTGTTCTCCTAAGTCACAACCTGCTTTCTTAACATTTATGATTTAATCAAGCGTTTATGATCAAACACTTGATTAAGTCACGCTTAAGTGTTGCCACTTACTGGCACAACAACCTAACCTGCAGAAAAAGTAACTGAATGAATCTTTTTAGTGAACTGATTCAGAACATTTGAGTCCCTGGGATGAATCAAAATTTTCACCATAAACCAGAACTGTAAGAATAATGACTGTTTTCAAACAGGTTTCCCCAACCAAATAAATTCAATGTTAATTTAAATTTAATTATCCACAACTCTCATTAGTTGTTAACTAAATCTATTAAAATTGTTTTCATTAGTTGAAATAAAGCTCAAATAAGTCACTTAAGGGGGAAGTCGTGGCCTAATGATTAGAGAGTCGGACTCGTAACCCAAAGGTTGCGGGTTTGAGTCTCGTACCGGCAGGGATTGTAGGTGGGGGGAGTGAATGTACAGCGCTCTCTCCCACCTTCAATACCACGACTGAGGTGCCCTTGAGCAAGGCACCGAACCCCCAACTGCTCCCCGGACCCCGCAGCATAAATGCCTGCCCACTGCTCCGGGTGTGTGTGTTCACTGCAGAGCACTAATTCCTAGTATGGGAAACCATACTTGGTCACATGTCACGTCACTCATAAAATATAAATATTGAATGAAAAACCTAAGCTCATAAAAAATTAGAAATGTTGCCTTGTTGTTGAAGTACTAAAATCTATCTAAAATTAATGGTGAAATTCTTCACCATTACCATCAACAACAGACTGAAACGGACTGACTTGAAGTGTGTTAATGATGCCTTTATATCCCATCTTCAGTTCAGTGTCTGTTTGTTGGAAGGTGGGTGTTTGACTGAAGAATTTCAGAATGTTAATTACATCTTTTCTTAGTGTTTCTTCTCTTTTATCTCTTGCATATTTTCGTTCTTTCTGATTCCCCTCTCAGGCTGGTTGGGTTTGGGAGCGCAGCCTGTACAGCTCTGGGGATCAGATACATATCTGTGAATGAAAGATGAAAGGAGTTTTTGTGTGTTCACGAGTATGTGAGGGAACGAGGGATAGAGACCAAGAAACAAATATAGATGCAAGAATGGAACACATTTGTAAGGGATGCCAAAAGCTAAAAAGATCAAAATGATAAGAACCAAAAACATTTATGAAGCTAGGGAAGAAAAACTAAGAAAGGAGTCAAAGTGAATTGCAGTCTGCAGCCCATTTTGACTTTAAAGAGGGAGCAAACCACCATTCCTGGAAAATGCATCATTGCATATTATGTGCCAGTGTTTGGAGAAGTAAAAATTGTGACAAAAGAGAAAGTAAAAAGGTTTGTGGTACTGTTATGACGGGTAGCGGAAACAGGAGGGGTCTTGAATGCTCACTAAGCCCGTAAAACATTCACTGCATATTCCACGTCTCTGTCTCACATTAACCGTTATAAAACTGAATGAAGAGAGCTTGTGTGAAGACACACATCCTAAAACATGCAGGTCAGTTTAACCGTGTCAAATTGAGCTTGTTACATTACCTCATGAAGCACAGGAGGAACCAATCTAAGCCTGTAAAACCCCCACCTCTTACTGACCCGCACACACACACAAACCCACCTTACATAAAGACTACTGGAAGAATGCATTACACAGGACCCATATCTCAGAGCTACAGGTGTGCAGAGCAAAACTTCTATTAGGGATGCACAAAATATCGGTACCATATTGGTTAACCCTCTGGGGTCTGAGGGGGATTGTGGCCCTGGAGAAGTTTGACATGCCCTCTCATTTGTGCTTTTTTCAGTTGCTTATAAACACATTAATGGCTAAAGTCTGTATTCAGCACAAACTGGGCTAAAATAATATGTAAGCGGCATGTTTGTACAAGTTTGTATTTTTGAGAAAACAACATTTAAGTGTGTTTATTATGTATTAGAGATTTCTAATTTAGCGGTATACCTGCTATGTAGTTGTGCTCATTTTCTCCACTTTTGCATTTAGATTACCCATCTAAGTAACTTAAAGTTAATCTTTAATTACACTATAATAATTCAATAACACTGTTAAATGTTCGGGAGTAAATGACGAGTGCTGTGTTCATTATTACATCCAACAACAGAACACCTCAATCGCTTAGGAGTCATTCTTGTCTACATCTGCTCCAGCGGTGGGTGAAACAATGGTGGTCGCAAATGTGGCGGCGTGCTGTATCACTTCACTAAAGTGCAAAAGAAACTTTGTGTGTTTGCTGGGAAGGATTTGCATGAAGGTATGATAATCATTCTATTCAGGAGCAGTTTCCATGTTTCATTAACAGCTCATTTTAGTATTGTGTACTCACCATTTTAACTGTTGTTTCCATAACCCAAAAATACCATGTTATTTTTATATATATATATATATATAAATGTTACATATCTAAGAAGACCAGGAACATGTATTAAGAAAATATGGTAAAATAAATAAAAAAATATATGGGGTCAACAGCAGATTTTATGCTAACTTCAAGAGCTACTATGTAAATGACACACATATAGGAGTAAATCGCGTCTTTGATGGGGTTCTTTTTCTGCTCATTATCAGTGCAATATATACTCTAAACTCCCACGCACACCAAACGGCCGTAACATTCAAAACATTCATACGTGCCCAATCTACAGGCTCAGAGTGCACATGCTCATGGGACTGCGATCGTCCGGTTGGCATGGAAACCCCAGGATTTTGAGCCCAATCTACAGGCTCAGAGTGCACATGCTCATGGGACTGCGATAGTCTGGTTGGCATGGAAACCCCAGGATTTTGACCTCATCCCTCCCACACCTCCCAGGAGATCCTCCTCGCACCATCTGACTTCCTTCCCTTTGTGCGGTTGTTCTATCAGTCCATCTCTTTATCACTCCATCACTGTCCTCTCTCACGTAGACAGCAATAATTATCCTCCCAAAGTCCTCTTCCTCCCCTCTGCTTCCCTTCCAGCCAATCACAAGGCACCGTTGGGTCGCCGAACCGGGCCTCTCACTTAAACATGGCATTTCCTGTTAAAGATAGGGCCCACCCCCCTCA